TATTATTTTTGGATATTTTTTGATTTACTTTGTATATATGCATGTATAAATTATTTCTGTTTAGTATGTTGATTTAGTCATTATGATATGTTGTGAACTGTTCTTACTAAATGTTCATGTTACGTGGTTTATTATCCTTCGAGAACTTCTAAGGAGTGTGTATGATAATAATAATAATGGATAATTATTTTTATCGGTCGATATTTTGTTATATTTCTTTATTTAAAATACAAATTTAAAAAAAAAATGACATTTTAAAATTTTAATTAACCGTCACTTTTCATTTTTGAATGAATTCAAATAAAAGCAACTACTGCGTTTTTCTTTCTTTACTAAAATCTCGAAATTGTTTGTAGATCTGTACGGTTAACTGTTTGTTCGAGTTTGAACAGGCCTTGCAAATTTTTTTTATTTATTTTTGTTTTTATTTTTGTTTATTTGGTTCATTCAATTTAGTTGATTGATTGATCGGTTGATTGATCGGTTGGTTGATTGATTGACTGACAGACTGGCTGGCTGGCTGGCTGACCGACCGACCGACTGACTGATTGTTTGATTGATTTATCTCATAGTATTGTATACATGAGAAAAAATCCGATTAAGCCAACCTACGGCTTCAGTAATCCACTGTTTTTCACCTGACAAAAGCAATTTCTATATTTATACTGACAAAAATAATTGTGATATGAATATATTGATTTATTCAATGCATTATATGTACAAAAAAGTGCTATCGTAAGAGTTCTATGAAACCCTGTAAGCCACTGCTGTAAGCCAACGTATGATTTCAGCAGCCAGTTTCTTATGAGCACCAGCAGAGTGTAAAATATTCATTGAATATAATGAAGATAGTTGTTCAAATAGTAATTTTGATTTATTTTGGCCGTTTATTTAATAAGCAAACCAATTTTTAACATGATCGAATAGTGTAAAAAAAAAGGGTGACTATAGTTCAATCCTACTAAGCCAACCTTCGGCTTCAGTAAGCCACCGGATTTCATCGGACCAAAAGCAATTTTTGTATTCAAATTAACAAAAATAATTTAATAGTACATAATTCTATTTATCATTATTAAAATTAAATAGAATTACTACAATGTTTTAAGCATATTAAATCAAGTAAATATTTCATTTAGCTTGCTCGTTAAAATTTCGTAATTTCGTAAGCCAACAATCCAAGCACGACAAATAGCCCGACCGATAGATCGAATTGATCGATTAGTCCTATTATTCTAGTTATGTGGTTTGGAGCAAGGGGAGACATTACTGAAAATAATTAAAAATGGAAAAAATTGAGGTTCTTTGCATATCCCTGCTTCAACCCATAAGAAGGTGTTGTATGCTGGTAAATAGGCCTCCCTTTGGTATTTAGGGTATTTATGAAAAACGTTATGGATTATACATATATAGTTTTTGATAACGGTAAATAAAGATAGTTTCCCTACTTAACTGTCGTCTATTATTTTAACTGCAATTTTTGTTTTACAACAAAATTTTTTTGATTAATTTTTCATTAAGTTCAGATAAGGTTAGTGTTTTAAAAGCTTATTTTAGATTAAATTTGTACACAGAAAAAACTATTAAAAATATAGACACTTTATGAATTTCAAGGTATTTTTTTAAGTTTCAGTTATTTATTTTTATTTTATTAATAACCAGTTCAGACTAAATTTGTTTAGCTGAAAAAAGATTTTAAGATCTTAATTAAAAAGTGAAAAAGTTTTGTAACTTGCAATTAGTTTTATTTTGGTAGAGTTGATAAAGTAAGATTATCCGATTTAGAACTGGACTCCTTGTTTTGTTGTAACTATTAAAAAATTAAATATTAATTATTAATATAATACATTATTATCTGATTTAGAACTGCTCTCCTTAGTATTTTATTTTTTTAATTGCAGATTAACCACTTTATTTTTGTTTTATATAATTGATGCTTATATAATTTATGCATATTTATGCAATCTATCTATTCCAACTGATTTATGATAATAAGACATAAAAATAATATACAATAGTTAAACTTGTGTTAAATATATAATTATCAAATATTAATTGACAATTTTTTTTACAATATAACATTTAATAAAATAATCAATTGAATATCATCAGATTACCTACACATCAATAATAACTATTACTTAACTTAACCTAAGAATGGAACTGGCTCATAGTTTACTGTTAAATGAAGAAGCACTTTCCAAAATACCAGAGCCCAAACGACCTGTCTTTATATTTGAATGGCTCAGGTTTCTAGATAAAGTTCTTGTTGCAGCCCAGAAGGTTGCTGCTCTAACTCATTTTATCTCCTCTTTTACATATTATTTTCCTTATTATTTTTAGTAATTTAATAATTTTTAAATTAGTAATTTAATTATTCTGAATATTAAATGGTAAATATTATTGATATCACTGTTATGGAATAATAAATATGTAAATATGTAATTTTTATGTATATTATGGCTATAGAAATGTTTCTACAGCATTAAATTTATAGTCAGTAAGTAACAGCAATGAAACATTAACACAGTGATATTAACATAATGACAACATCGAATAAATAAATAAATAAAAATCATCCTAGTCTGACATCAAAGAGAGCCAGCAGAAGTTAATAATACAGCTGAGCAATGAGATAACAGAAAACCGTGGTCCACCAATCAGAAAGCTGATAGCTAGTTGCCTAGCAACCATTTTCAGTGTCGGGGACACTTCTGCTCTCTTTGAGATGATCAACAAGTGCAATGACATCATTAGAAATAAGGATGACTCTCCTCTTTATCTGCCAACGAAATTGTTAGAATGTTTTTTTTTTATTACCCTTGTTCATTTTTAAATTTGTCAGAGCTTTTAGTTTTTGGTTCTGATGGGTTTTGTTAAATCTTTTTAATTTTGTCGGATTTTCAAAAAATTTCTCAACCCAGAGGGGCCATAACCTGCATTGGTGAGATGTACGAGAGGTTAGGAAGAATGGTTGGAAGGTCTTACGAGGAGACCATCAATCTTCTTATCAAGGCTCTCAAAAACGCTGAAGTAGCCATCTTAATTTTAACTGATGATATTTTAAAATTTGTATCAACACACAAACACACACTCGCACGCACGCACATACACACTCGCACGCACGTGCACATACACACAAACACATACACACAAACAAACACACGCACACATACACATGCACATCTACATGCACGCACACGCAAACATACAGTCTCATGGCAGATGTGAGATCATGATAACGTTGAGGAAGGTGGTGATAGGTCTGGGATCTGCCGGCTCTAATTGTTACAAGGACATCTATAAGGCTGCCAAAAACTGCCTAACTGAAAGATCGCTGCCTGTTCGATCGGCCGCTGCAGCTGTTAGTGAAATTAGGGATGTGTTTTGTTTATCCCGTCTGGTTGTTTTTTGGCAGTTACTAAATTTTGGTTTGAAGTTTGATTTTTCAGATTTTGGCTGTTTTATCAGTCACATTGAATGTTACCATGCCTGTATGTTTGAATTTTTAAAAATTTGAATCAGCATTATGTAACACATACACACGCACACACCCACATACATATACACATACACACTCACACATACACTCACACATATACTCACACATACACTCACACATACACACACGTACAAACATGCTGCACAGTGCCTAATACAGATGATAGAGGAATGCCCTTTCATATACACATCAGAGATGGACAACATCACCTCCCTATGTTTTAGAGCCATGGACTCAGCCAACTACGAAGTTCGTTGCGACGTTGCTCAGCTTCTTGGCTCTATCATGGCTGCCTCACTCTTGTCGCAGAATTCAAAAATTGGTCGGGGCTTTTTTATTGTTAGATTTTTTATTCCTGTGAAAATACACCTAACGAAAATTAAATAAATTAGTGAGTATGTAATGATAATCTACAACAACAGCCGGTACTAACAGCAAGGGCAAGCAAGTGAAACTGGATGACATCCTGGCGATGATGGGTTCAGGTTTCATGAGGGGTGGGTCTAGTTTTTTGAAGGGGGGTGAACAGAAAGGGGGCAGCAATATCAACAGGGACATCAGGGTCGGAGTCACCCATGTTAGTACTTTCTTTTGAAGTTTCTATTTGAGTTTCTTGTTGGTTGAGTTTTAGTTTTAAATTTTTTGTTATATAACTTATCAAAGTCAAAAAACTTATTTCTATAATTTTATTTAAGTATAAAAACTTGTATAAATAAATATAAAAATATAAGTTTCATTTCAAATTTTGCAACTTTTTCATTTTGAAACCGAATAAACTGCTTTCCACCACCATCACTGCACACACAGGCATACGTGGAATTCTGTAGAAGAATGGGTCCTCAATGGCTAGAGAGAAACTTGAGCACATTCCTGAACCACCTCTTCAGTCTGGTTTCGAACCCGCGCAACACCTCATACCACATCGATGCCGTCTACGCCAGGAAGTGCATCAACTTCATACTGAGAAGTGTCCTGGGGTCGTTGCTGGCCGAGAAGGCTCAAGTGGGAGCTGCCAGGGAGCTGTGTCTTGTGGTTGTTAAGCAGATCAATTTGACTGGTTAGTTGCTAGGTCGGCTTATTGTCAGAACTGGAATTAGATCTAGGAGTTTTTCAAGTTATGATTTACAATACCATATAATACAGGAATTACTGTGGTATTTTTAAAATTGTAAAGTTTAGTTAAATTTTTTGTGTGTTATTTTGAATTATTCTAGTAAAGGCAAGTTATTTATTGAGTTTTCCGAGTGTTTTATTTATCTACTTAACAAACTCGCATCAAATATTGCACAGCTGACATGGGAGACGACCCACAACAGCAGCAGCAGCAGCAGCAACCACAGCAGCAGCAAACATCCTCCTCATCAACCGATGCCCCAAACGCCCACCACATTTTGATCTGTGCTCTCCAAGAACTCGGTTCATTAGTTCAGGGTCTGGGAACTTCTGCTGCTACTCTTGTTGTTGAACCATCTAATGGTATGATCAATGTTCTGTTGGCTAACTAGTCGGCCAATCAGTCAATCATTTATTCAATCAGCTAACCAATTATTTGAGCAATTAAATCACTGTTCAGGTATCATAGAGCCAGTGGTATCAGTCCTCGTGCATCCTTCACCACCGGCTCGACTGGCCGCAGCCTGGTGTCTTCGAAGCATTGCCATTGCCCTCCCCTCCCAAATGACCATTCTCATTGATAGGTGGTGTGGAATTTGAAAACATCATTTTTATGTTAATTTTTTCAAAAAAAACAAAAAAAAACAAGAAAATTTATCGTTTACAAGTATGACATCTGAAACAATTGAAATACAATCGCGGGCCGGACAAGATCATTACCCGGGCCTGCTCCAGCCCGTAGATCGTATGCTGGCCTTGCCTGGACTAGATGGTCATCGTATGTCTAATTGGTAACTAACTTCTCTCAGCCTGATTGGGTGGTCTGTTGCTACTTCTCAGCTGTTAAACTTCTATTTAGAAGTGGACCGCATGAATTTATAAAATATATTGCCGTGGTTCTAAATTTGTGTTTTTTAAACTATTTTCACGACAGATGTATGAACAGAATGCAACACTTGAAGTCTTCAATGGAGGCAATATCCGGCTACTCATTCGCATTGGCTGCCCTGCTGGGAGGTGTCAATCAAACGCCCCTTCGTATCCCACACGTCAAGGGCAAGGTTAATTAATTAGTTAATTGACGTGATCATGACACCATTGTATGGCTTCATTTTAACATTATTATGACGTCTTCATAACGTTATGACAGCAAATCTTCTCATTGGCTGAAGATCTTCTTAGGACAGCCAGTCAAAATAGTAGACTGTCATTGCAGAGAACACAGTCTGGGTGGCTTCTTATGGGGGCACTCATGGCCCTCGGTTAGTAGGGGGTAGGGCTCAGGACGGGTTCACCTTTAGAGATGTATCACAACAATGGTATTATTTGAGGTAATATTATGATTGTTTTGAAGCTAAAAAAAAACTTTGATGAATTCTGTTTGACGTAGGTAGTTAGTAATGTTCGGTAAACTTTCACGTTAGATCCAGCTTAAAAATTTGGCCATTTACGGATACGTTTTTCATTCTATGCGTGATTTTAATAAATTGTGATGACATCTCAATGACATCAGTCATACGTCGAAACGTGTCAATCAAACGACGTCATCCTGCCAATCGATGACGTCACATCTCACCAACCGACCGACCAATCAATGACAGGACCTTCAGTGGTGAAATCCCACCTACCGAGATTGCTCCTACTGTGGAGAAATGCTTTCCCAAGGTCGACCAAGGAACTTGAGTCGGAAAAGTTGAGGGGAGATGCATTTACCTGGCAAGTTACTCTCGAAGGAAGGGCAGGGGCACTGGCTGGTACGTTTGGCTGCTGCTGATTGGCTGAATGTTGGATGGCGGGGTTTTGGGGTTTTCGATTTTTGTTGGTCAAGTTGGGCTATTTTGTTCAGTTTTATTTTTTCATTTTTTTAATTGATTTTATGAGATAAAATGTTTAAATGTTTGTAAATTGTTAACAAACGATAGTAAAGTTTTGTTGATTTTTTGGTTCAGTTAGGTGTTAGTTAATATCTGCGTGCAGGGTTATTTATCTCTGGCTATGTATGTATAAGTCTTAATTCTCTTTACTCGTTTGGATTGTTTGTTATGCGGCGATATTACCAAAGTCGACATCCTTATACCATTATATTATATCACCTTCCTCTTCGTCCTCATCATCATTCTCATCAGCCATGCACAGTTTCTTGTTTTTCTGTCCCGAGTTAGTGACCGACGACATCACTAAAAGATTGCTTCCCTCTCTCGAATGTGCTCTCACCATGATCGTCCAGTGAGTGAATAACAAATTATTATTATTATTGTTATCATTATTATTATTATAATTATTATTATTATTATTATTGCGATCGTAACAATGCGTGAATCAATTTTTATAACTATCTTATCATCGCTGTACTTATTTTATTTTAAATAAAGAGCAATGATGACTAACTATGATGATTATGATTTTATTTAAATTTTATTTAAATTTTATTTTATTTTAATCATGACTATTTCTCTATTAATTAACTAATTATTGACTTTACGCATTTGATGAAAAATAAAAGATCTGTTCCCATTATTATTATTACCATTGCGGACATCTTCACCATGATATTGAAATAGAAATAGCTACTCACCACTGACACACTACAACTGCAGAATAGCGAGTGTAGTGAAAGTGTACGGAGCGCATTTGAAAGCTAGCGCCGCCACTGTCCGCCTGCGTTTGTATGACGTCCTATCCAACCTAAGTCCAGATCTATATGAAACTTCCTTCAACTCGCTATTGCGAGAGCTCGTAGCCGAATTCACATTGACCGACAATCCGGCTAACACGACTACGTCTCGCCTAAGGACGCT